AATCAGTTATATGACCAACAATGCATGATCTGGACAAACAGTTAAGAATGTGTGGGGAAAGAACTCAGACAGATCCAGACTGATAAAAATCACAGGTTTTTATGGCCTTTGGGACATAAAACATCAGCACTACTGTTAAGTAAAGATCTACTGAGGATGAAAAGTAAGGAAATTGTGATGTAATTGTTCCACTGTAACTGACAGCAAAAACTGCAAACACTGTAAAAGAAGTAACACACAAGAATTATTGTTAAGAGCTCCGACTTATGAGGAGAAAAACACATTGTTACCAAGCTGCACAAACTTTGATATCAGAAGAAAATCTGATGGATTCAAGTCACCTTAAAGAGATGTGCTTAAGCTATCCAAGACAGACAATGTGATTTTAAAATAAATGAATCATATGCATATAAATGAACCATTTCTTCTCAGTGACTACACTGCATATAAGAAACTATGTTTCTAAAAGTTGTAGCTATTGGAAAAAGAGGAAAACTAAATAAAACGGATTGCCTCAATAATGGATGCCACAGCCCTTAGTTTGCAAGACCTGTGAAGCACTGTTACTGACAGTACTGCTTGGCGGTCATTAATTCACATGGCTCCCAGAAGTCAGAAGCAATCTGACAGCACATCTCACACAGAGGCATTACATGTATCCAGTCCTGAGAGATTAAGATTAGAGGAGTACATGAATGTACTTAGTTAAGAAAGCAAGGTCACTGAAGCCAGTCTTTTTCTTTCAATCAGCAAAGCAGGTGAATATAAAGGCACTTTGCAGATACAAAAATGTCAGAATTTGACAACAAAAGTTATGCAGGCCATTGAAATAAGTAGTACAACTGCTGTACTCTTCCTACAAAACTAGTAGGTACATTTAAGGCACAGCAAGGGTTAACTTGCTGGAAGGCTACTCAACATATAAAAAGTCACTTTTGCTCTGACTCAGCAGGCTGCAGTCTGGAGCTGGGAACAGAATATTCCTCAACATGAAAGCAGTCATTTCTCTGCTACTTTAATGACTCTCCTTCCTGCCACTCCTAGCACAAGCTCCCAATTGCCAATATACAGGTTAGTCATACACAGAGTCAACTTGATAGCACAAGGCGTACACCAGAGCTAAGTTGAAAAAGTTAATTCAGACAATGAACTGCAACCAATTTGCACAGCACTACAGAGACATGTTTCAGAGCTTGGCATGAGAAGAAAATAGTCACACCTTCATGGCAAGCATTCATGGTTACAGATGCACATGAATATGGTGTGTTAAATTATATACTCCCTTAGGTAAGTGCCACTCTTTACTCTTCATTTCAAAATGCAATAAAGAAAATCTTGCAATATATAAGCATTATTTCCAGATACAGTGGACCCTTGACTTACAGACAGCTTGACTTACAGACTTCTCTGGCCGCAAAATTTAGGTTTGACTTGCAGACTGAGATTTGACTTACAGACCAGAAAAAAACCAAAATGGAACAAAAACGGCCTGTTACGGGATTAATCGGTTTTCAATGCACTGTAGGTCAATGGAGACTTGACTTACAGACTTTTTGACTTGAGAACCGCCTTCCAATACGGATTAAGTTCTCAAGTCAAGACCCCACTGTATATAAATCTGAGGGGCCCATTACAGTGATATTTTATACAAAAAATTTTTCCTTCTAGCAAATAATAAGATGGTGGCGCTGTGGGCTAAACCGCAGAAGCCTGTGCTGCAGGGTCAGAAGACCAAGCAGTCGTAAGATCGAATCCACGCGACGGAGTGAGCTCCCGTCGCCTGTCCCAGCTCCCGCCAACCTAGTGGTTCGAAAGCATGCAAATGCGAGTAGATAAATACGTAGGTACCATCTCGGTGGGAAGGTAAACAGCGTTCCGTGTCTAAAAATCACACTGGCCATGACCACGGATTGTCTTCGGACAAACGCTGGCTCTATGGCTTGAAGAGCGGGATGAGCGCCGCCCCCTAGAGTCGGACACCACTGGACAAAAATTGTCAAGGGGAACTTTTACCTTTACCTTATGCACATATATGTCCCTTTTCCCATCATGTACTCCCATATTATTTGCTGTTCAACTGTTGATAAAGGTAGGTGTAGCCATACAATGCATTCTCAGATCTACTTCCTCCAATCCAACACATCTAACATAACTTCATGCAGATTAAACACCAGAATAACATACAGGATATAATGAAGGCATGTTGCTAGCAAGGGGTGAGAGGAAGCTGCCTCCTGCCCATAGGAAAAGAGAGGGCTACCCAGAGAACCAAGCCCCAGGACACAGGGGCGGGGACAAAGAAAACACTGAGGAAAAAACTGACAGTGTGAGTTTGAAAGAAAAGATGGGGAAAGGAGACAAAAAGAGGACAGAGAAAGGATAATAAAGAATGATACAAAGAGAGGATGAAAGGAAGAGGGGCAAAGGAGTGTGTGTGGACTGAGTGAGAAGAAAACCGAAAAGGTTCTACTTGAGAGTTGGGAATGGACTGCATTTGAAAATCCATGGGCAGAAAAATGGGAGAAGTTGACGGTATCCAAAAAAAGTATCAGAGAGGCAGAGGAAAGTCCCTTGGAAGCAATCGCATTGGGGAGAGGGAAAAAGAGGAGAGAAAGGAGGAAGACACCGCAAGCTGTGGCACAGAGAGGAACAGGGACAGGAGGTCTAGAAAAGCTTGGGAAGGAATTCTTCTCACTCTCAAGCTCAAGCAGAGGCCAGCTATAAGGCCCAGGAGAATTCTGGGAGACTCGGGGGCAGGGATAATGAGTGGTGGAGACTAGAGTCATTACCATTGCTGTCTATGCTATTGCCACAGGAATCAACACCTGGACTGTTAAAAAGGGGGAAGACAGGAAGTTGGGAAGATGTTCCTAGAACCCTTTCCTCTCTCAGTTGGAAGGGGAGGGTTTGCTACAAGTAGAGAATGTAGATGTTGCCCCTGTTGGGTAACCATTAATAAACGCTGCCTGTTTCAAGCAAGAAAGTGGCTCCAGAGTGGCTGCATCAAGGGAAGGGGGGATCAGCAGACCGTTTCACATACATAAAACCCTTGCTTTGGGGATGTTAAGATTACATTCATTCTTAAAGTGCTTACCAGGACACTTCCAATTTTCTTCACTATTTCCATGGCAAATCTACTTGCTTCACTATGTCTCTCTTCTGCTTTTTTGAGAATACCTTATTAAATCCACAACTATAAAATGTAACATTTGCCATCCATCCAGCTTCATCTCACTTACCAAGTCACTAGAATTAAATTTGTAAATAGAGGCAGTTCCTGTTCCACGTGGATCGCTTTTCGTCAGAACTCTCCAATATGACCTGTCTGTCTTGGGTGTCCCTGCATGGCATAGCCCATAGCTTCTCTGAATTACTCAAGCCCCTTTGCCATGACAAGGCAGCAATACGTGAAGGGGGAAATGTCCCTACTTACAGTCATATCAAGGTTTGCATATACAGTATATGCTGCCTCATAAATGATGAGGTATGCTGAAATGTTAAATTCTTTGTGCACTTGACATAATGTTTAAGAAGTAAATATTCCTAGTACTATGACACCATAGTTGCATGCATTAGTCACAGCAAAATTAACAGGCCAAATATTAATGAAATCCCACTCTCTCTTACATTGGATAATGCTTATTGACACATTTTGATTTTTCAGGTATGTGTAAGTGTGCAGAAGAAATCTACAGGAGATGATGTACGCAGTAACAAATACTACGGCAGATGTGGTCTTATTTCACTGAATATGAAATATTCACACTGAAGACTCAGTATATTGTTGTATAATTGATCAACATCAGTTTTGCATCATTTTTTCTGTTTATATTGCATATATAAATTTTGGGAAATCTTTGAATGAAAAAGAAGTCCCATAGAAGCAACAGAACTAGAGTGGTGCCCCGCATAGGGGAAACATTGCTAGGGGGAAACATCGCTATATGGAACCAAAAACGCCATAGAAATGCATTAAACTTAGTTTAATGCGTTCCTATGGCTCCTAAACTCACCGCTGTGCGAAGTTTCCCCATAGCGCCGCCATTTTCGCGCCCTCGGTAAGCGAGGGCAGGACGCGAAAACGCTGCGCACGGCCATTTTGGGCATCCGGCAGCCATTTTGGAACTGCCGATCAGCTGTTTTTAAAAAATCGCTATGCGAAAATCGGTAAGCGTCGCAAAGCGATTTTTTCCCTATCTAAACATCGCAATGCAATCGCTTTTGCGATCGCAATTGCGACGTCGCTATGCGGATTCGTCGTTAAACTGTGCGCTCGTTAAGCGAGGCACCACTGTAATTTAGATCTGCTAATCTAAGATGCCGTGAAGGTCCATAGACCTCACTGCCTCCTTGGCTGTGTTCTGTAACATACAAGGAAACCAAGATAAGGAGATTCGGGTGCCCTACCAATGAAATCTAAGAGTTTATTGACAAAATCCATCCCCAATCTCTCTCTTGAATGCACACATATACAAAATATTTTTTATAACAAGCCACACACTACTAGCCCCAACACAAATGTGCATGGCATAAACAAACACAAAAATCAATACATTGCTACATTTTGCTTTACCACCACCACCAAACATACACTGTCCCTGCTGAATACAAACTTTGGATGAAAAATGTATTGGCCTCAACTGAAGCAGAATCAGAGGTACAGTCATGAGATATGGCAAAGAGGCCCACATCTCTTTCATTTACACTCACAAGCTGAAACCTTCTGGAAAAATCGATTATGTAAAGGAGCTGTCAATCAAAGACGAGGAAGAACCAGAATGCCATATATTGTTTTTACCACTACCAAACATATTGCTTTACTCACCATTCTTTCTCTCGCTCAGTGGAGGAAGATTGGGGTTCCGTCCAGGATGGAGGCCTAGTGTCAGCTCGGGCTGTAAGGACAGCTCCTGCAGCTCATTGGCAACAGCTTCACTCTGGGGGCTTGGTGCCCCCGAAAGAGACACCAATGCCGGCTCGTCTTCATTTTCGCCAACCCCTCCTCCGTCCAGCCCATTTCCAGCAATGACGGAAGGGGGCAGGCACAACACACTGGAGAAATCCACTTTGGCTTTCGTGATGGCAACCTGTAGAGAAAAAATTAAGAGTAGTTTGGACACTGGTATATAGATTATGCCACCCTTTCAAATGCAGATACTGTACTGTACATATATTCTCCATATGAAACTACAATTTCAATTTACTGTAATGCAGTGTAATAGGTGGAAAATAAATAGACCCCAACAATCAGTATTTTAAATTTTAAATACACACACCCAATTTCAGAAACTGCAAGACAATGTTTTCTATTTAATCACTCAATAAAAGTGGTTATGTAGAAATACTATGTTATTCTCTGTTACTATATACAGATGTGAAAGTTGGACAGTGAAGAAAACTGAAAGGAAAAAAATCCATTCAAAATGTGATCTCGCGAGAGAGCTTCACAGATACAATCAACCATCAGAAAGACAAGCAAGTAGGTACTAGATTAAAGCAAGATGGCTGGATAGCTCAGTGAGTTAGATACCCTGATGTGGAGCCAGAAGTTGGGAGTTTAATTCCCCACAGTGTATCCCAGCTAGCCTGTGTGGCTCTGCACAAGTGGCACACTCCCAAGATGCCTCCAGAAGGAAAATGGTAACCCAATTTTGAGTACTCTCTATATAAAAGACCCTGAAAAGAGTTGCCATAAGTCAGAATTGACTTGATGGCACACCATTATTAGATCAAAACAAGCCTAAACTGGCTCTAAAAACAAAAATAACAAAATTGAGTTTATTATACTTCGTACACAAGAGTCACTGTGAACGGCTGTAATACTGGGGAAAGTTGAAAGCAGCAGAAAAAGAGGATCACATATGTGACAGACTGACTCAATAAAGGAACCTACAGTCTGAGCAGGGCTGTTAATGATAGCCTTTTGGAGATCCCTAATTCACTGATGCTTAGTAGGGATGGATTCTAATGTAAATGAACAAAGGAGAAACAGCCCTGTACGTTTTGGAAACCCACCTCCACCCACAGAAAAATTAAGAGTAATGTATAATAACTATGGAAGCCTGAGGTCATCTGAAGAAATGGATTATATTCAAGAGTATGCTGCTATCTAAACAGGAAATGTAAAAAGTAGCAGCTAATCAGCAACTGTAATTAAATCTTCTATAAATCTTTTCTTGTAAGAATATAATACACGGTGTACTTTTCAAAACAATAAAACAGTTTTCTAGACTTCCTCTACTTACAGTCAAATATGCAAATCAGATCATTAACAGATATAGTAGTACAGTTTTCAATGGGACTCATTGTTGCATTACCCTTTCCTTCTCCTTAAAGAAAAACAATGATTCCATACGAGCAGACAAAAATATTTCAAAGAGTTAAATTAGAGATGATGGTACAAGATCAGTTATGTTCCTCTATTTTTGAACCAAAACATAGTTAACCAACATGCAAGGGGGAGATATGATTAAAATAAAGACCACAGCACCATGACAGTATGGTGCTTTTACTTGTGCAAGTAAGTTGCTGATTTTTGTTTTTCCCCTCCAGGAGCGCTTCACATCAGATCACAGGCCCATTCACACCAAGCCTTTGACCTTCAGGAGTGCGAAAAGCTTCAAAAGACAGATGTGGGGAAAATGCATGATGCAAACACAGTTCATAAGACCCAACCCTGGATGTTTTATTAATATAAGTAGTTCTGTAGCTTCTTGTCACTTAGTGAATTTTGAATGGTCAAACTTTGTTGGAAACTTGTTTGATCTGTCTTCCTTTAGTTTTCTCACTTTTTCAAGACCTGTAAAGCAAGTTCCTGAAAGCCAGATTGACTTGTGAAAAACAGAACCATTAGTAAGGGGAAACATCTCTTTCAAATAGAATGGCATCCAACAATCTAAAAATATCAGAGTGCAACCAAAAAGATCACGGAAAACCATGTTACTTTTGTACATACCAGGACATCCTTAGAACTCAGCTAATTTATTTTTTCTATTAAAAGTTATACATGTTCACCCGTGCATAGCTTTTTATAGAAATCCCATCTAAACTCAAACTTAACCCTGAATGCAGCAAATACTGCCTTAGAAAAGAATCCTCAAATCCCCAAATACTTCCTTGGAAAAGAATTTATTAAAAGTTAGCTATGTTTTCAAAGCTTTGAAATGCAGCCCAGGGAATATCAAACATCTCAGCTTTGACTAAAGGCCACGGGATTAGCAGGATAGTACCACAGAGGAAAAAGCTGTGCTTTCAAATACAGATTTTTTTAAAAACTAAAATGGAAAAGGGCTTTGGTTGAAATTTTGCCTGAATGGCCTTTTTCAGTAGGTAAACAACAAGAAACATCCACGATGGCCTCCTGCAAGAATTGTTTCTGCATCCAATGACAGTGAGCCTCCAAGAAAATAACAGAATGAAGGAAAGCGTGTGTCGTGAGGGAACTTCCAAGTATCCCAGAGGACTCTGGGACACACTTAATATACAGTAGTGCCTCGACTTACGAATGCCCCTACTTATGAACATTTCGACTTATGAACAGCTCCAGTTGCAAAATTTTGTTTCTACTTGCAAACAGAGCTTCCACTTACGAACAGAAAAAGGCAGGGGAAAAGGGCAGGAAATTCAAATAGCTAACTGTAGTTGGCGACGAGGTTGCTTCTTTGTAGCTCTTTCGCCCCTGCAGTTAGAGAGTGTGCAATCTGAGGAGGCTGCCTAATAAGGTAAGGTGCCGCTTTATACTTTCTAAAAATTGTTCTGCGTATTTTTGCAGCATGTTTTTTGGCTGGGGGGGTTATGTTTCTGTGCTGTGCTGGGTCTTGGGAGGGTTTGGTTTTATTGTTTCCCCCCCCCCATTTCCGACGGTTTGGATTATTTTTTTGGAGTGTTTTGTTTTCCCATTTCTGATGGGTCTTGGGGGTTTGCTGGTTGGTTGGTTCCTCCCCCCATTTCCAATGGGTCTTGGGGGTTTGGTTGCTTTTGGGGGGGTTCCCCCATATTCGATGTGCCTTGTATGCTTTTTGCTTTGTTCTTTTTGCATTTCTGATCTGCTCCATTTGTTTTTGCAACGGTTCCTGCATGCTTCCCTTGCTTTCTGCTTTGCGCATTTCTAATATCTGATGGGTCTTGCAGACCCTTTCTGCAAGGGTCTGTGCTGGCTGGTTTGCTCTAAAATGGAGTTTAGTCTTTTGGTTTTAAAATCAGAAAGCTGTTTGCAAACGTCTGTGCTGGCTGTTGGGTTCTAAAATGCATTTTACTCTTTTGGTTTTAAAATCAGAAAACTGTTTGCAAAGGTCTGGCTGGCTGTTGGGCTATAAAATGCATTTTAGTCTTTTGGTTTTAAAATTAGAAAAGTGTTTGCAAAGGCCTGTTTTAAAAGGTGTTGGTGGGTTTATGAGGGGTCTGTGTACCCTAGTGATGACCTTCTTTCTTTCCTTCCTCTTTTCCCCATTGTTCCCCTCCCTCCCTCTTCCTTTCCTGCCCTTTTTTTAACCTAAGTCATCTTAAGTTAAAAAAAGAAAAATTCCCCCCCTAGTGGTAGAGGACGGATCAACTGGTTTTGCATTAGTTCCTATGGGAACTAATGCTTAAACTTACAAACAGTGCCTCTACATAAGAACAAAAAACAGCAGAATTGGATTACAGTGATGCCCTGCTTGACAACGATAATCTGTTCCAGCAAAATCGCTGTACAGCGAAATCGTAGCCAAGCGGGGAAAAAACTCCATTGAAATGCATTGAAAACTGGTCAATGCGTTCCAATGGGGGAAATCCCTGATTGTGCAGCCATTTTGCGATGCCTGCAAAGCGAAGAATCGATCCTGAAAACAATGGGGAGCCATTTTGCGACCCGCCAATCAGCTGTTTCTAATCATCGTCTAGTGAAGAAACAGTTCCCGAAGCAGGGAACTATTCATCATCAAGCAAAAAAACCCCATATAAACATCGTTTTGCGATCGCTATAGTAAAGCGATTTTGTCGTCAAGCGGGGTAACCGTCTAGCAAGGCACCACTGTAATCAGTTTTCAATGCATTCCTATGGGAAATGCTGATTCGACTTATGAACGTTTCAACTTAAAGAGCATTTTCTGGGACGGATTAAGTTCGTAAGTCGAGGCACCACTGTATTAAGGAAGACAAGCAATAACATTCTGACTTGATATACTGAAGATTGCCAGCAAGGAGAAAAGCACTGCATGTGAAATTAGTACTCCACTTTCAGATGCCCAATGTGAAATAAAAACATATCCTGGGAACCCTGCACAGTAATGTGCAGGTAATTCTATCAAAAGTTCTTCCTTTATATACACTCCCTTCCTCTGCTCTTTATTTCACATTTCCTCTTCCTCCCTTACCAGCTATGTTTACCAATAAATGAATTATGAGGATATCACCTGAAGAAGTAGATTGGACAAATACGTTCTAAAAATTGCATAAAACTTTACCGTTGTCAAAAATTTAATTGCTCAACAACTTACAGCTGTAATTTAGAAAAACACACAAAAAGGCCACATGGTCTCCAAAACAGGTGATACCTTTACTGGACCACTAAAAGAATGGGGAAAAAATGAAAAATGAGCTTTCATCGTCTTCAGGCTTTGCACCAAGTTCTTGTGGGTAGTTCCAAAATTATATGCTTTTATTGAAGTCCCAAAGTCTCGTGGCCAATGCTGGGGCCAGGCTTAGCTTCTAAATGGAGATGGTTGCAGTCTGCAAGAAGTGGGTGATGGTGGTTTCAAACTCCTTTTCAGCCAGTAGTTTGGAATTTATCAATCAACTCTTTAAACAAAGTGCTATCAAGCACACTTGACCCCCCCACTCACCTCCCCTTTCCACCTTCTTTTTCTATACTTTTATTAAGTATCACGGCCAATGCTGGGGTTAGGCTTAGCTTTCTTAGCCATTTTTAGTGGTCCAATAAAGGCATCATCTGTTCCCGCAACTGTATTTTAATAAATATATTTTTGAATAAACAACAGTGTTTACAGTTTAACAGAAACTATTACTCAGTGTTAGACAGAACTCACACATCTGGCATTTAACGAGCCCCATGGCATAAGGCTTAAACTGCATAACTCTGCTCACAACC